TGCTGGAAACTGTTTATGCTGCTTCATATTTTTTTGGAAACTGTGAGACTTTTTTCAGAATTATTTAATGAATAAAGTTAAAAAGAACAGCATTTATTTAAAATAGAAATCTTTTCTAACAATATAAGTCTTTATTATCACTTTCTATCGCTTTAACACATCCTTGCTGAATAAAGCATTCATTTCTTTAAAAAAATAAAAATACTGACCCCAAACTTTTGAACATTAGTGTATAATGTTACAAAAGATTTATATTTTAACAAATGCTCCTTTTAACTTTATTCTTCAAATAATCTTGAAAAAATATTTATATTTTTTAAATAAATGTATATTTTTTAATTATTATATTACTAATTATATTCTTGCACATTATAAAAGGATTTATTATAGATGACAATATATAGGCGCCTTTATATTTTAGGAAGAGGCTGATCAGATCTGTTGTAATGTGATTAAAGCAGTGCTGTGCTGAATCACTCACCTGCTGGCAGTACAGCTCTGACAGGAGACTCGCCGCCTCAAACTTCACATCCTCAAACTGTGCCACCTGCACACCTGGGCTAAGGAAAGCTCGATAAACACTGCGATCATTAGCTATCATCATGTAACACAGCTGTGTCTTCATTCACTTACAGCAGAGCAAACCACAACCTCAACACAGATGGACAAAATCAAGCTTCACAAATGTGGTAAAGGATACTTGCTGTGAGATGAGCCACTGAAATAGAGAGAGAAAGAGAACCATAAGTCATATTTATATTAGTTTCTACAGTAGCACATCCCATAATCCCACAGAACAAATACAGAAGAAAGGAAAACACAACAGAGCTTTCAAAAGACTCACATTATTATATATGCTTTACAACAATAAACCCTTAAAACACGAAAACATCATCAATAGCACATTCCATCATTGAATCTGTGGATGAATTATTTACAATAATAATAATAACACTGTAAAACGCGGACCGGGACTGCGGCCTAGTCGCTCGGCTGAAGCCTCGGGCTTTCCTGCGCGCTCTCACCGCTTTCTCGAGGTGCGTGCGGGCCAGCTCGCTGTTCTTCGTGTGGTGGTAGAGCACCGAGCCGAGCTGCAGGTGCGTGCGGGCCTCCACTCTCTGCGGGGGCTTGAACTGGAAGACTGCCTGCAGGCAGTGCACACACAAGCGGATTTTGGGAGGGCTGGAGGTTCGGAAATGTTCGGCGAAACCGAGCAGAGCGAGATACCAGGAGTCCGGGGCCTCTGCGCCTGCCGCCATCTTCACCACAACAACACGAGAGCGCGGCAAATCTCGCGAGAGGAGCTCCACGGCCCTACACTGAACGAGAGCTCGGCTGAATGTCGCGAGGGACGCTCGCCTTCGCAAAATCAAATATAGAACTGATAAACATTTAAAACAATAGTCGACACCTTCACAGCGTATTCAGATAAATACGTCTAATTTGCAATTCCATGAGGAATAAATAAAATTTCGCTTGCTTTGTCTGTCCATTTAATCTTCTCAATAACAAATCGGTTAAATAAATGATTACTTATAGTATATAACAAAACACCATAAAAAATTATAAAACAACAAAAAGTTTTTTTTAAACTTAGGCTTCTACACACATATTGGGAGAAATAATTTCAAGTCTCAAGATATCGCTTAAATCTCTACACGGAATATGTTCTATAATCGTACTGTATTATAACATTTAGACATTAATCATTCAGTGTTGGGGGTAACGCATTACAAGTAACGTGAGTAACGTAATCGGATTACTTTCCAAGTAACTACTAAAGTAATGCAATTAGTTACTTTTTATGGAGTAACGCAATATTGTAATGCATTACTTTTAAAAGTAACTTAAAAGTAACTTTCCCCGACACTGCTCATTGTTATTCTGCGTCTCTTCTAGAAGCTTCTGGAGCCATACTTACCTTTCGTTCAAGCATACAACAATAAAGCTCTTCCTGATTCTGATTCATAAACTATTTTACTCCATGGACGATTTCTACTTTTAAAACCCCATTGGTCCACAGGACAATATAAAATGAGCTAGTGAAAGTAGAGATGACTCAAGCAGTGAAATAAATCAATCATTCCTAGAAAACCCTAATTATTTCACAAACACATCTAAATGCTTGCGATTCACTTCTTCCAGACGTTGTTTGAGATCCTCCAGTATTTCACTGCACAACAAGCATCTTATTCTCAGGGTGCTTCATATGCTGCAGATTTTAAACGCAGTAAAACTGACGGTGAATGAAGATCCACGGATACATCAGCTGAACTGGAGAAGCAGCACACACACAGCATTTGAAAGCACAGACGTTTAATTGATCTCACAGAGTCAAGGACACAGGGATGAGTTTAATCAGGACTGTAACGAACCCAACATGACTGAGACGGTTTGTGCAGGTCGAAGCAGTCGTGAGGTTTCATTTGTAATATCTGTGCTCATCAACACACAAACAATCCAGGAAGTTGCACCGATGTTCATATTAGATTACACAGCTGACTATATTGTGGGCTTTTACAGTTTTGAATAAATGTAATAAATCAGCATCTTTAAATAAACAAACAGAAACACACGAAGGGCTCGAGGCTGTATTAATCCATTATGAAGTCATAATTCAACCTGTTATGAGTAAACACAGGAGATGCTGCTGGTTCAGTAGTACGGCCTCCTGGGATTGTTCTGTGCGGAAACAGAAGAGATGTGTTACTGATCGGTTCGGTTCGTTTGGCTGGTACAATTAATACAACACAAGCCCAGAACATCTGATTCATGGAAATACAACATGTGCAAACGCACTGAAATGGCTGATGGGTAATGAGTGCGTGAGAGGCTCACCAGAGGGTTCGGTCTGAAGCGATACGCCAGCATCATCCTCTTACAGAAAGCATCAAACTCATCGTCACTCTTCGAGAGTTCAGCGGGTCAGTCCACACCGAAGCCTGCGCCGTCCACCGCCGTGTAGCATCTGCGCGCACACACACACACGCACG